ACAAGGTCCTGACCTTACATAGACCTGAGGTACTTGTTACTTACTAAGCAAAAAAGGATCAGACCCCAGTGACCTCGGGCAGACCCCAGTGACCACGGTCTGGTCGTGTCATGCATGGATGGGTGATATTTTAGTATTGTGTTTGTGTTAAGCACAATGTTATTTTGGGTGGGATTTCTTTTGGTGAATAAAAATAGCAGTAAATAGATAATTTCATCAGAATGTACAGGTCACCAGTTTCAGTGGCACAGATTGGTGATGTCATTTGATTTTAATGTCATGGTAACCAATATGATCACAGTGGCCAGCAAAACACTGTGATGCAATTTCATTTCTACTCCTGTTGAAGCTAGTTTGTGATTATGTAACACTTAATCACAAGAAATTTCTACTAATCATTATATGATTCCAGCCATACAATTAGCATGTGTTAATGAATTACTATCAACTAGTGATGGTACTGGGTGTGAGTTATCATGCCCAACAAGAGCATTCAGGAACACATGCAATGGCAAGTCAATCATTCAGCTGAACGTATATGGGAGCATGTAGTGCAAGGTACAACAGTGAACTGGACACCATTTTGGTCACTGATGTGTCAGATTGGTAATTTCGTTATTCTGAACTATTCGAAAGCTTTACTAAGGCGACCTGTGAAGGTCCGGGTTAGAATTGATCTTCTGAGTAACCCATGCTTGTCGTAAGAGGCCACTAACGGGATCGGGTGGTCAGGCTCGCTGACTTTGTTGACACATGTCATCAGTTCCTAATTGCGTAGATCGATGCTCATGCTGTTGATCACTGGATTGTCTGGTCTAGACACGAATATTTACAGACCGCCGCCATATAGCTGGAATATTGCTAAATGTGGCGTAAAACTAAACTCACTCACTCACTTTACTACAGCCTTCAATGCTGTTACTATAACCCTGATGAAACTACGTTGAAATGTAGACCCAAAAGCTGGAGCTGCCAGAAGTGAAAGTTGACTAGTGGAAATTGAATAAAAGCGATCAAACCCTTTCCACATCCATAAGACATTTCTGCTAGAAGCAGAGTTGATAATACAGTTCTGCCTACGTCTTGAGCATCTGTTTATAATTCAGCATCAAAATACTCATGATACCAGTTGTTCATGAAAAGGTGAGTGTATCCTGCCCAACCAGAAGCATGATCATAAACAAAGCCGAGGCATTGTTCACAGGAAATTGTAATTGTGGCAGGATCAGATCCATCACAGGATGCAGACTGGTGCTTAATCCAAGACCTGTGGAGTAACACAGCACACAATCGCTAGTTATTCCCAGCCATACACAGGTGATATTGAGCTCTGTGGACTCAGATCTGTGGCTTGTTGCCTGTCAGTGGCAGATGTTACTGGCCTGTCCACTAATGTGTCCATTTATTATTAGGAAATCACAATCAGTAGGGGTCAAGCTCGTGAGAGAAAACTCTGCTGGGGACAAGCATGATGGGAAAGGTCATGTGACATCTGAAATGAAGATATAGTGCTAAAGGGGTAAAGGGTATATCGTGTTTAATATTGCATGTCTCATCATGCTAATAAGAGACATTTATGTAGAAGACCCTTGAAGTTATCCAGGTTAGAATTAAACTTCAGCAACCCATGTTTGTCGTAAGAAGCGACTAACGGGATTGGGTGGTCAGGCTCGCTGACTTGATTGACATACGTCACCGTATCCCAATGCTTAGCTCGATGCTCATGCTGTTGATCACTGGATTGACTGGTCCAGAATCGATTATTTACAGATTATTTACCAACATATAGCTGCGATATTGCAGAGTGTGGCGTAAAACTAAACTCACTCACTCATTCATGTAGAAGCAGAAATATATTTGTTAATAAAGAAATACTTCATTCTAATTAACAATCTCAACACCAATTCACTCATACCAAGTCAGTGGATCAGTGTGCACTTATATATATAATTCACAGTCAGATCACAGTCTCTACCTACCGGGTACCCATTCACTGCTGGGTTACAGATGGGTAGTCGTGAGGACGTACCATCATGTCTGAATTGTTAGGACTGGAGCCCTGAAACAGAAAAACATAAATGTTTCCAAATACAATCTCCTATCAATCTCTTTTCCACTGCAGCCATGGGTTAACTTCTGTTCTACATATTCGTGTGCTATTTCAAGTTATCCAATGATTATTTATTGCCTAGTTTACTGCATTGAGCCATCCCATTGTATTGACCAGTAATGATTTCCCCAGCATCCCCTAACTACACCATTACAGCAGGGCAGAATAGCAAGCAGCGATTGATATGCCTGTGACGTAGTTTCCCTTACCATCCGAGAATCTCAATTAACTGGGCTAATGGCTCAGTTATCTCCCCTTACCTTCGTTTGATTCAGCCAATGATTACTTGTTGTCAGTTAGCTGCCTGTTAGTATTTCAAGATCTCGTAGAAATAACTGGAACTTTTAGTCTAATGTCTGAGATCACGCATCTGTTCAATAGTAATGTTAATATGGATATATATCAGTTCATCAGTAATCCTAAGACTAAAATCATTCTTCAATGAAAAGAGCGCAACCAAAGATAAAATGTCCAGATGCTCTTGTTCTGGATAATGGCTGAAACACAGAGCAGAGTTCAAGCAGGGTATGAAACTCCCAATAGTTTCAGCCAGACCACAGGGCTGGTTTGAAGTAAAACTTGCCAGCCCTGACCAAAACTTACCTGCCCACAAAAAATACTAATTTACTTAGCATAATTAAATTAAAACTTGTAAAATATTGAAAAAACTAATACCAATGCAAGAAAAGAATTAACTGTTTATTTCAGATTTGTGTTTGATGCTTGAATTCATGTTATCACTTCATCATGTTTTATTATCCTGAAATATGATGAATATCTTCATATAAATGTCTAAATTTTAACCCGACCGTTGGGCAGGTGAATTTGAGAATCTGGATGTCCGTGTTGAAAATAACCTCTCCCTGGCGGTCGGGCAGGCAGGTGTTTCAGAACACACTGGTTAAACTAAATATCTTTTCATTTTGTAGAGAGTCAGGCATAAACAAGATTAGCATGACCAATACACAAAATGATAAAGTTTAATCCCTCTGGTATTTTGGTGAGGGTTCCATACCAAAAGATCGCTAGCCATGGAACATGTTTTTGCTCTTAGTTCACGCCAGGATTCTCACAGGTCAGCATTAAAACTCAAAAGGTTTATTCAAAAGTTAGAAACCCATTGACAACATACACATAATCTGTCCAAATATATCGAACTATTATTTTATCATGACATGGCACCAAACTTCAAACAGTGTTCTTAGAAGTGTATAATACTACTGACCACCCGATCCCGTCAGTCGCCTCTTACAACAAGTATATGGGTTGCTGAAGACCAGTTCTATCCCAGATCTTCACGGGTAAACTGGAAGTTGATTCGCATGCCTTAATCTGGACTAGCATATCCTCTGAAATTGTCTGAGTTAACAAACTTCTGGATTATTGATACATGGATTCAGAGACACTTCGTATACACATCAACAAATATACTGAATTCCAAAAGTAACATGAATATTAAAAATGTTTGAGATTACATGAAACAAGACTTAAATCATGGCAAAGTATTCAATGCCTAGATAGTCATTCTTGTCAGTGTTCTAAAGGCCATAGAGAGGCCATACTCGATACTGAAATGTCATTTCCCATGATTTTCATGTCCAGATGCTCTTGTTCTGGATAATTGCTGAAACACAGAGCAGAGTTCAAGCAGGGTATGAAACTCCCAAAAGTTTCAGCCAGACCACAGGGCTGGTTTGAAGTAAAACTTGTCAGCCCTGACCAAAACTAATACCTGCCCACAAAAAATACTAATTTACTTAGCATAATTAAATTAAAACATGTAAAATATTGAAAAAACTAATACCAATGCAAGAAAAGAATTAACTGTTTATTTCAGATTTGTGTTTGATACTTGAATTCATGTTATCACTTCATCATGGATTATAGATACATGGATTCAGAGACACTTCGTATACACATCAGCAAATATACTGAATTCCAAAAGTAACATGAATATTAAAAATGCTTGAAATTACATGAAACAAGACTTAAATCATGGCAAAGTATTCAATGCCTAGATAGTCATTCTTGTCAGTGTTCTAAAGGCCATAGAGAGCCATACTCGATACTGAAATGTCATTTCCCATGATTTTCAGGTGATATTACCAAATGGCACATTATCTAATGACTTCTTATTGACATGATCACAAAACTTACATGGTTATGAATAAAAATCATATGTGTGTTCACACTTAGGACTCACATTGTTTTCTTTTCATGATTTCATAAGCAAACATATCAATCTCTTTATTTCCCATGGTATAACAGTTTGACATGACTCACGTTTCTTTTGGAACTGAGTATATATAACTGTCAGCCTTAATTGGAAGCCTTCACTTAAACAGTCAATTCTGAAATGGAAGTTTTAAGAGTGAAGAACTTTTATGAATGCTTCATTGAGCTTGTGGATCCCATGGGGGTTATGTCTAATTAAGGCTGTCTGTATGTGGATTTTTATTGACGTTTTGTAGGTGCTGTTAAAAGTGTGGAGTGTGGAGTTAGATAACTCTTTTACTGATGTAGTATTGATTTGCACTTGCTGTTCCAAAAGATGTTGCATTTTAGTCATTTCCAGATATTTTGTGTATTTTTCTTGTTTCAAGTGAAAGTTCCTGCTTATATCTTAATTGAACATGTTCTTGTTGTTCTCTTTTTAAACAGTCACAGGAACTGATATGCTGAATATTCAGCTCTCTCTGTTTTCAAGCACGAAGAAGAGCTTTAGGGCTGAGCTTTTGTCTATTATGGATACTTATAAGTATCAACCGTTTGTTGTAAGAAAATTTTGGACCTTAGAATCCACACATGCCTAAGGGAAGCAACTCTACACGGTAAATTGTAGTGCCTCCAATGCCTCTGACATAACTAAACTTTCATGTTTTCCTTGCAGTTTGAACAGCTTGCATACACCTGGTTGGAGAGACAAAAACTAGGGGGCACTTACAGCAGCCATCGTGCTCAGACGGAGCGTCACGTGGTCGTATGCACCACCACCCTCCATGCAGACACCATCATGGACTTCCTGAACGAGTTCTATGCCCACCCACTTCTGCAGGTGAGTAATCTTACCTTACCTGTGAAATACGTGAATTTTTGGGGTCAATGACATTTTCATAAATTTCCAAGTACCAATCTACTCGAATATACTCAGATGTCATGGCAACCAACATACATTTTGACAATATCTTTAATCTCTACAATAGAAACTCCATATGATGAAATGGCACGGTGTAATGTATATTTCATATATATTAGATATCCCTGATGCACTTTGGTAATATATGAGCAAATTGTTGTCTGATATTTTGCAAACCCTTTGGATATCAATCTCTTTTTATAAATTGTGAAAAAAAGAAATCCATATCGGAACAGAATTTGTTTCAGGTTTATCGCTCAGGTTCTGGGTAGGCAGACAGAGCAGTACTTCATACTGTATCCACATTGTGATAAGCATTTTACTTAGTAAACATGCTCTTTAGCTGACAGAAGCTGTAATTTCAACAGGGCAGTGATGAGTAATAGCAATGATACCCTTTGTAGCAGTGATATAAACTTTGCCCAGTAGCAAAACAACAGAACCATAGAAAATAATGATAGTTCTTACCAAGATGTGTCTCCAAGGACCTTACCAGACCCCAAAATCTTGGGTTATCACGACATAGTCTGGGCAAAATATTGGAGTTATTACCCTGGACTGTTTCTCTCTTTCTATCAATAGTAGTTATAATATATCAACTATTATTAGCTGAGCTTATGAAACAAACAGATTTCACTTGACTCAGACATCAGACTGGCGGCCCATGTCAAAGGCTGTCATTGGTAAATTGAAGGGATAGGGATTCAACTTTCACAAGGAGTAAATGATGTCTTGCATATAAACAGAATTACTGTGCACTGCTGATGGCAATGAATTATTTATGTTAGACCTACACTGCTTATTTCTAAAATGATATTTGCATTATCATCAGTTTGATGGATATATTTCTTATTTCCAATATAAACTGTGAATACTTCAGATACATGTGTGCTGCATCAGAGCAAACAATGATCCATCATGAACACACGATACTTGACATTTCTGGATGTGTCATCTTGCAACAATAATGTATAATGGAGGAGGGCACCTGCTCCCAACACTAGTACAGTCTTTAAATTTGTCCAGCTGAAATGTCAGGAACCGCGAGTGACTGAGCATAGGTTTACACACCATTTAGCATCATTCCATATAGCTGCAGGTACACCAGAAATTGGCATCGCAGTCTACCCACGTGGGGAATCTAAGCCCAGGGTTTAGGTGTTCTGAGCAAATGTTGAACCCACAAGGCTACCTCAGAGCATGCATCAAGGCAGCTGTGATATTACAGACTGTAGTACCCTCGAAGATCCGGGTTAGAAATGGTCATCAGTAGCCAATGCTTGTCGTGAGAGGCCACTAACACGATCGGGTGGTCAGGCTCGCTGATTTGGTTTACACATGCCATCGTATCCCAATTGTGTAGATCGATGCTCATGCTGTTGATCACTGAATTGTTTGGTCCAGACTCGATTGTTTACAGACTACCGCCGTATAGCTGAAATATTGCTGAGCACTGCGTAAAACTAAACTCACTCACTCATAGACTGAAGTCTACATCTACACTCTCCTCTTGTTACAGGACTACTTCGTGGTGCTGCTGTCGCCGTGTGAGCTGGACTCGACCATGAAGATGCTGCTGCAGGTGCCCATCTGGGCACAGCGGGTCATCTATGTCCAGGGTTCAGCTCTCAAATACACCGACCTAGCCCGGTGCAGGTAAACCAATACTTCAGATTTTTTAATGCCAGAACAGATAACGTCGCATAAACAAACCTCTATTTTTTCAAAGTCTGAAATATTTTTGCTGAAAACTGATTTCTAGAAAATTTGGTGTGGTTTTTTTCAAAGTGTGGAGCCCTGATAGGCCTAACATCATTGGTAAATGGCTTGGCAGTGATCAAAAAGACTGTAAATATAGGATTTGGTACAAATTACTAACTGGGCTCTAAAACCCATTAATACAAAATGTGTGACATTTTTCACCCACAAAAATTATCCTTAAATTTGTCTTATCTCCTTCTTCTAACAACTTTTGAATGTCAATGAAGAACTTCACAAGTCTTTGAAGTAAAGTCTGTATTTACCTTCCAGGATGCAGGAAGCTGAGGCATGTTTTGTTTTAGCAGGTCGAAACCATAGCAACAAGATGACTTCCGTAAGTGTGTCCCATTCTGCAGACTTCTGTTATAAATAATGGCCATTTCTAATGAGCCTATTCCAAGCTAACACATTATTACCCTGTGAGGCGCTAGAAGGTTATTAGTCACATGACTTGTCCCACCAGGTACCCATTTACTACTGGGTGAACAGAGGCAATTTTGAACAAACTCACTTGCCTAAGGTGAGACCATATGAGTCACATGTGTTTCGTTGTGGGGCAGGACCCAAGTCCTAGAAACTCTCAGGAGTCAAGCTGCCAAACACGGTCACCCATCCAAGGACTGTCCGAGCTCAACGTTGCTTAACTGCAACTGATTTGTGACCTGAGCTCTATGCACAGGACCACACACCACCACGTGTTACATATGTATGGATCTCAGTAACCAAATTCAAGGCTATATCAATGCATCCATTCGTAAGCATATAATTATTTACTAAAATGTGTTTTTTCTGTACTAGCTGTCTACCACAAAATCCGTTCAGCTGAAGGCAGTTATATATTCAAGATGAAGCATGAATTTTGAAAACTGCTAGATTTCTTTAAACAGGTCCAGAGATAACGTGTAACTACTACTGACTCAGATTCACACAATCACTTCCTCTCTGCTGATTCTTACAGGATCAGCACACGATACTGAGGTCATGGGCTGTGAAGGATTTTGCCCCCACATGCCCTCTCTATGTCCAGATATTTCGTCCAGAGAACAAGTTCCATGTCAAATTTGCTGGTGAGTCTTTCCTTGCAGCAAACATTCCGTGCACTGGTGGACCTAGACATGGATGCGGACAAATACTCCTTCCTTCATGATTTGTATGTAGGATGCACCCATCCTGCCCAACACTGCTTCTGAAAACAACAGAAAATAAGTATATGTGTGAGTGAGTTTAGTTTTAAGCCGCTTTTAGCAATATTCCAGCAATATCACGTTGGGGGACACCACAAATGGGCTTCAAACATTGTACCCATGTGGGGAATTGAACCCGAGTCTTCAGTGGATACAATGCCCCACATGGGTACGCTTTAACCAGTAGGCCACCCCACCGCCCCATATAAGTATATAATGACCTGGGTGTGTCAGTTTTACTTGTTAGTTTTCATGTTCAGAATGACCAATGAATTCCCGTCTCATAGTCAACTGCAGCAACAAGGGTGGTGGTGTAGCCTAGTGGTTAAAGCATTCGCTTGTCTCACTGAAGACCGGGTTTGATTTTCTACATGGGTACAATGTGTGGAGCCCATTTCTGGTGTCCCCCGCTGTGATATTGCTAGAATATTGCTAAAAGCGGTGTAAAACTAATATCACTCACTCCCTGTAAATATTTCCAGTTTGGAAAAATATATACTGTACGATTCCCATGCCAGGTGTGGATGCAGATCATCTAGATTACATTTTCCTGAAAGTAACAATAACGAAGGTTTATAAGTGGCGTAAAACTAAACTCGCTCGCTCACTCACTCACTCACTCACTCACTCACTCACTCACTCACTCACTCACTCACTCACTCACTCACTCACTCACTCACTGCAGCAACAATAGCATGACATCATCATAATAGTTTACAATTTGAAAGTCTTCACTTGATAAAAATATTACATGCAAAATGTTTTCAGTATATCATTTTATGCAGGTAAGCTACAGCATTGTTGTGGGCTCACTTCCTGTTTACATTTTGTTCTTGAACTGATAAAAACACTGCAGGTTACAGATTCTACACTTGATAACTCAAACAACCTTGTGTACAAATGCTTGAAACAATTCAAATCTGGACTTGGGTGCTGTTGATGTGTTCAGACCATGCAGTGAAGGTTACAATAAGGAAATGTTTTCCAGGTTTATTGCTGTGAACATATATGTGTGTAATGTGTGTTGATGTGAACATGTATGTGTGTTTAATGTGTGTTGATGTGTTTCAGACCATGTCGTGTGTGAGGATGAGTTCAAGTATGCCCTGCTTGCCAACAACTGTCTGTGTCCGGGAATTTCTACCTTTCTACATCTCGGGACAGTGAGTACATATACCCTTCAGTGAGTGAGTGAGTGAGTTCAGTTTACCGACACTGCTGCTACATGACATCAACCAAGGGCGACAGTGAGTACATATACCCTTCAATAAGACCTTGCAGTCACTGGATCAGTTTGTCAACAACAAGGCTTTATGCTTTGTGTGTTTTGTGTAGGAAGGAGGGGTGGGGTTTGATGGTGGGTGGTGGGTTAGTGGGGGTTGTGTACAGATCTTTAAACCTTTCAATTCAGACATGCTAAGATATATGAAATTTAAGCTTTTAATAACCACGAAGCCTGATAATTGCATATATGAAATACCATCACCAACTGTTACACTATCCAAACCAGAAAATGGAGCAGACAAGACAAGAATTTTATTGTACTGCTGCAGATGTTCCATCAGAGCTTAAAAGTTGTAACCCAACATGGGCCTTCAGAGGTGCTACAAGCAGTGTCCCTCCCACCATACTGTCTTCATATAACATTTATTGTATATTTCTGACTAACTGATTGCAGAGATGAAATCTGTAAATAAGTTCATGAGAAAAAAACACAGTGAGTAATTAAACTCAAATTGTTGAGAAGATGTTTTGTGGCTCATAGTTTTTACTCAAAGTACTGAGAGTTACCCCCCTTGGAAGAACGCTACCAAAGACCAGTACTTGTGTACTGAGTGTGATTTGATGTCCAAAGTAATGAAACCTTCCAGAAACCAAGTTGTAACTTCCTTATTTTAACAAGTACTCCCAGCAAGTTCTGTTCTGATTACATCAACCCAACTTTGTAGGTTTGAATCTATATTTGGGATGTTTAATTCAAGCAGTTGATGATTAACAAGTCAACAGAGACAATGTGTCACACTGCAAATAGGTAACAACTTCTAGAGCTGGGCAGGAACACCTGCCAGATCATGGACTGTTTGCGTATGTGTGATAATGAAACACTTGATGTCAGTAGACAGCAGAGACCTGCTCCGCCTGGAAGTCTGATTCATGATGATGTGATTACAAATATTTGCACATGTAGTCATATGTTTTCATATTTCTCCAGAGAAGGCCAGACATCCTCAGAGGAGTGGCAGCAACTGTATGGTCGGTGTTCTGGAAACGAGATCTACCACATACAGCTGGGAGACAGCAAGTTCTTCGGGGAATACTGTGGGAAGAGCTTCACATATGCCTCTTTCCATGCCCACAGGAAGTAAGTCAGCTGATCTTTTATATTTCGTTCTTTACTCACGGGAAGTAAGTCAGCTGATCTTTTATATTTCGTTCTTTACTCACGGGAAGTAAGTCAGCTGATCTTTTATTTTTCGTTCTTTACTCACAGGAAGTAAGTCAACTGATCTTTTATATTTCTTTCTTTACTCACGGGAAGTAAGTCAGCTGATCTTTTATATTTCTTTCTTTACTCACGGGAAGTAAGTCAGCTGATCTTTTATATTTCTTTCTTTACTCACGGGAAGTAAGTCAGTTGATCCTATATATGTCTTTCCTTCACCATAGGATATACGTGATCTTATAGATACAATGTCCTCATGATATATGCTTTATTCCATGCCCATAGGAAGTAAGTCTTCTGATGATATATGCTTTATTCCATGCCCATAGGAAGTAAGTCTTCTGATGATATATGCTTTATTCCATGCCCATAGGAAGTAAGTCTTCTGATGATATATGCTTTATTCCATGCCCATAGGAAGTAAGTCTTCTGATGATATATGCTTTATTCCATGCCCATAGGAAGTAAGTCTTCTGATGATATATGCTTTATTCCATGACCTCGGAAAGTGAATCTCCGAGTTTGTTCTTTGACCATCAGAAGAAAATCTCAACATGGTACACATATTATTCCCTACCCATAGGAAGTGAATCTCCAGATAATATGCATTTAATTCATTGCAATAATCCTTCTCTGCTTGAAATGTGAACATACACATAATTTCGTGAAAATACAGAAACAAGGATGCCAATGAGCAGCTATGAGTGTATTACAGGTATGGTGTGAGTCTGGTGGGGATGCAGAAGGATGTGCCAGGATCCACCATCCAGCTGAACCCCGGCCCACGCCACATCATGAGACAGTCCGACATCTGCTTCTACATGAACATCACCAAGGAGGAGAACTCCAACTTCATCCTGGCCCACCCCAACCAGGAGGACAAGACGGAGAAGAACAGGCTGCCCCTGGGGGCAGAGCAGGCTTCCAGGGTGGCCAGTATGATTGCCAGTGTGGGTGAGTGGCCAGTATGATTGCCAGTGTGGGTGAGTGGCCAGTATGATTGCCAGTGTGGGTGAGTGGCCAGTATGATTGCCAGTGTGGGTGAGTGGCCAGTATGATTGCCAGTGTGGGTGAGTGGCCAGTATGATTGCCAGTGTGGGTGAGTGGCCAGTATGATTGCCAGTGTGGGTGAGTGGCCAGTATGATTGCCAGTGTGGGTGAGTGGCCAGTATGATTGCCAGTGTGGGTGAGTGGCCAGTATGATTGCCAGTGTGGGTGAGTGGCCAGTATGATTGCCAGTGTGGGTGAGTGGCCTGTATGATTGCCAGTGTGGGTGGAGTGGCCTGCATGATTGCCAGTGTGGGTGAATGGCCTGTATGATTGCCAGTGTGGGTGGAGTGGCCAGCATGATTGCCAGTGTGGGTGAGTGGCCAGTATGATTGCCAGTGTGGGTGGAGTGGCCAGTATGATTGCCAGTGTGGGTGAGTGGCCAGTATGATTGCCAGTGTGGGTGAGCGGCCAGTATGATTGCCAGTGTGGGTGAGTGGCCAGTATGATTGCCAGTGTGGGTGAGTGGCCTGTATGATTGCCAGTGTGGGTGAGTGGCCTGTATTTGCCAGTGTGGGTGAGTGGCCTGTATGATTGCCAGTGTGGGTGAGTGGCCAGTATGATTGCCAGTGTGGGTGAGTGGCCTGGGTTGCCAGTGGCCATGTATGATTGATTGCCAGTGTGGGTGAGTGGCCAGTATGATTGCCAGTGTGGGTGAGTGGCCAGTATGATTGCCAGTGTGGGTGAGTGGCCAGTATGATTGCCAGTGTGGGTGAGTGGCCAGTATGATTGCCAGTGTGGGTGAGTGGCCAGTATGATTGCCAGTGTGGGTGAGTGGCCAGCATGATTGCAAGTGTGGGTGAGTGGCCAGTATGATTGCCAGTGTGGGTGAGTGGCCTGCATGATTGCCAGTGTGGGTGAGTGGCCAGTTGATTGCCAGTGTGGGTGAGTGGCCTGTATGATTGCCAGTGTGTGAGTGGCCTGCATGGCCTGTATTGCCAGTGTGGGTGAGTGGCCAGTATGATTGCCAGTGTGGGTGAGTGGCCAGTATGATTGCCAGTGTGGGTGAGTGGCCAGTATGATTGCCAGTGTGGGTGAGTGGCCAGTATGATTGCCAGTGTGGGTGAGTGGCCAGTATGATTGCCAGTGTGGGTGAGTGGCCAGTATGATTGCCAGTGTGGGTGAGTGGGCCAGTATGATTGCCAGTGTGGGTGAGTGGCCTGTATGATTGCCAGTGTGGGTGAGTGGCCAGTATGATTGCCAGTGTGGGTGAGTGGCCTGTATGATTGCCAGTGTGGGTGAGTGGCCTGTATGATTGCCAGTGTGGGTGAGTGGCCTGTATGATTGCCAGTGTGGGTGAGTGGCCAGTATGATTGCCAGTGTGGGTGAGTGGCCAGTATGATTGCCAGTGTGGGTGAGTGGCCTGTATGATTGCCAGTGTGGGTGAGTGGCCAGTATGATTGCCAGTGTGGGTGAGTGGCCAGTATGATTGCCAGTGTGGGTGAGTGGCCAGTATGATTGCCAGTGTGGGTGAGTGGCCAGTATGATTGCCAGTGTGGGTGAGTGGCCAGTATGATTGCCAGTGTGGGTGAGTGGCCAGTATGATTGCCAGTGTGGGTGAGTGGCCAGTATGATTGCCAGTGTGGGTGAGTGGCCAGTATGATTGCCAGTGTGGGTGAGTGGCCAGTATGATTGCCAGTGTGGGTGAGTGGCCTGTATGATTGCCAGTGTGGGTGAGTGGCCAGTATGATTGCCAGTGTGGGTGAGTGGCCAGTATGATTGCCAGTGTGGGTGGAGTGGCCAGTATGATAGCCAGTGTGGGTGAGTGGCCAGTATGATTGCCAGTGGCCTGTATGATTGCCAGTGTGGGTGAGTGGCCAGTATGATTGCCAGTGTGGGTGAGTGGCCAGTATGATTGCCAGTGTGGGTGAGTGGCCAGTATGATTGCCAGTGTGAGGGTGCCAGTATGATCGCCAGTGTTTGAGCAGGCCTTTATGATCACCAGTGTTTGAGTGTGCCAGTATGATCACCAGTGTTTGAGGGTGCCTGTATGATCACCAGTGTGTGAGGGTGCCAGTATGATCACCAGTGTTTGAGCGGGCCAGTATGATCACAAGTGTTTGAGCAGGCCAGTATGATCACCAGTGTGTGAGGGTGCCAGTATGATCGCAAGTGTTTGAGCAGGCCTTTATGATCACCAGTGTTTGAGTGGGCCAGTATGATCACCAGTGTTTGAGGGTGCCAGTATGATCACCAGTGTGTGAGGGTGCCAGTATGATCACCAGCATTTGAGCTGGCCTTTATGATCACCAGTGTTTGAGCCCTTTATGATCACCAGTTTGTGAGCAGGCCTTTATAATCACCAGTGTTTGAGGGTGCCAGCATGATCACCAGTGTGTGAGGGTGCCAGTATGATCACCAGCATTTGAGCAGACCTTTATGATCACCAGTGTTTGAGCAGGCCTTTATGATCACCAGTGTGTGAGCAGGCCTTTATGATCACCAGTGTGTGAGGATGCCAGTATGATCACCATTGTTTGAGCGGGCCAGTATGATCACCAGCATTTGAGCGGGCCAGTATGATCACCAGTGTTTGAGCGGGCCAGTATGATCACCAGTGTTTGAGGGTGCCAGTATGATCACCAGAGTTTGAGAATGCCAAGATTGCCAGTGTTTAAAGTGAATTGCCTTTGATGATCACAAAAGAAATAGCTTCATTCATTTGCTGTTTTCTTACTACCAACCAATTCAATCAATTTCAGGAACTGTTGCTCTGGAACTTCAACACACTCGTATTGACAGTGAAGCTGAGAACATGACCCGGCAAGGTAGTAAGCGGACTCGCCTGAGTCTGCCAAAAGGTCTGAACATCCAGAGTCTCCAGAAGAGGCCCAGCATAGCACCCGTCCCAGCATTCCTTGATTCCAGCAACATTCAGATCAACCTGTCAGGGTCCGACTCCGAGTCTGATGATGACACAGCTCATGTAGAGGAGTATGATGAATACCCAGAGTGAGTGAGGGATAATTACAGTTTGTTCTGAATATGAAAAACTATAAAAAACCTCTCGCATTAAAGACAAACTTTGTAAATATGACATTATATATGACCAAAAGAATTATTTTTCCATATTTCGTGAAGAAACCAACCATACCTTTTTTAATAGTTCACATCTGTTATTGATTACATTCTTTCAATTTTGCAGTGTCTGTGAAATAATTTCTTTAGTAAGTAATCTGAGATCAACTCTTTACAAAATATTTTGTCTCTTGATGCAAGCATATTGACCCAAAAATATCTAAATATTAGTTGGGTCTTGCATAAAGGAATGTGTGTGTAATATTATTTTCACCATACAGTTAATATCAACTATTTCAACATCAATATTTAGGATTTATTCATTGTCAACAATCATTCTCAGTTCAAAGATTATGTTTTCAGATATGTCCGAGGATTCCCACCAGTAACGCCCTACGTGGGCACTAGTCCCACCTTGTGTCACCTGATGAGAGAGAAGCGCCCTCTATGTTGTCTGCAACTCATGCAGGTACAACCTACGTATCATGCAGTTCAGTACAATTTTGACTCATATTGGTGGATACATGTTGTTATCGTAATGGTGAAGTCGATGTCCGTCCGTCGCTCTCTGCTTTCTCTTCTGCACTGTGGAAGTCAGCTTCTTTCTTGCACCAGCAGGGATTTCCCACAGCGGGGATTTCTCACAGCGGGTTTTTCCCACAGCAGGGATTTCCCACAGCGGGATTTTGCCACAGCGGGGATTTCCCACATTTGGGCTTGCAACAGCAGGGATTTTGCAACAGCATTTACTGAAATTATCTTGCCAGAAGTGGTTAGCAAACACACCTTGTTGAAAATGCAGGAAAACAGAGTATTGCAGGAGAAAATAGGATTTGTTATGGAGCTTTCTGGATAGTACAGTTGATGTTAAATGAGGGATTTGTTGTACAGATGATTTTATTAAATCTGACTTGCTGTACAGATGATGTTGTAATAGGGGACATTTTGTGTGGTTGATGTTTTAAGACAGGACTTATGGGAAAGCTGATGTTATAATATAAGACTTCTGGTATTAATATGAACATTGACTGAAATAATATGCTATGATGTGAGAGGGAGAAAAGTATTGGTCACGTGACATTCAAGGGTCACGATGACCTCAATGTTTGTAGGGTTCATAGGGCCCTCTACCAGAGATAAATGTTTCTAAGAACTCTCTTGCTCATCTGTAGTTCTATCAATCTCCACTAGATTCTGGTGTGACTGTAGTGACGTAGATGTTCCTTGTTATACATAGTGGCACATCTCAAGTAGAATTTAGCTACACAAAAGACACTCTGAGTCTCATGTCAGCCTGTATCTGTACTCTTTTGTGCCTCTGTTCAGTTGTTGAAGCAGGTGCTTTTTGTCTGTTGCATATTGTACTACTGTGGTAACAGTGAAGGCAATGGTAATATTGTGATGTCAGTTTCTGTACCATGTTATTACATGTTTCAAACCAGTTCATTGAAGGATCAGTGTTCAAATGTCTATAATACTTAGTGGTAATGAAAGTAGTATTGACTGCCTTTGTCATCAAACTTTAGGGTTACAGGTAAGTGAACACAAAGAAACAGCAGGTAATGTGTTCATAAAAATATGCAAAAATAATTATTTCTATATTATCTTATTAATGTATATAATTTTGTTTAAATCACTAACGCTGAATCTGCAGATGGTTTTAAGAAATGTTTTCAGGAGTATTGAAAGTTTTTAGAGTTTGCTAATGTTTTGTCAGAACCATGCCAAAGATTATCATCTGATTGTCACCGTAATATGCACCCTTGGGGCTTAGAATTTTCACAGAACATCATTAAATCTGTTTTCAGACATCAAACATTAATGAAGAAACTTTGTAGAAATGTCAATGTAATTAGAGATGTTGAAAGAGCAGTTACTGCGCCCCAATATAACCCTGCTGTCTTTTTCTGTCTGTAATGTGCACAAATAGTTTTTAGGTTTGTAGTCATGGCATTTAAAAAGATTTCTAACAAACAGGTCCAAAAATTGTTGAGGGGCGCTTTTTATTGCAGGATTTTATACATGGAATATGTTGTCGGTAATAGCGCCTTTCAATAAGGTATTAACACTTATCCCTGTTTTCAATAATGATTAGTATATAATCCAATATGGGTGCCACTTCAGGCCTGCGATCACTGTGACGCTAAAAGCTGCAAGGAGTACAACTGGCCCAACCCTGCAGTGATTGTAGCAGCGGACTATGCCAGTAATGGCCTCTATAATTTCATTGTGCCTCTACGATCTCATGCCCGCCCCAAGAAGTCACTCAGTCCAATCGTCCTGCTTCTTGAAACCGAGTGAGTATTATACACTATGTCACAGATAACTTTGATGGTATGCTTCTTGTGAGTCTGTCAGTCTGGTCAGTGCCAGTATCGGGTACTCAAGACAATCTCAGTTGCACCCAACTGTCGTGACTCTTTGTACATGAACAGGGATGAGAATTTTCCGCGGATCCGCGGAATTCCGGGAATTTCATAAGGCCAAGGGTAATTTTTGTGAATTGTCTAAATCCGTTCACAATTGTATGAATGTGCTTCAGCAGATTTAAAGTTTTTAATGGTTGCTGTGTTCATGATATTGTCATTTCTGAGCCAGTTTTAAAGGTCTAATATGCATAAATATCAGGAGATTTGGCTAGTTTTCAGAGTTTTTCTCCAAACTTCATTCTCATCCCTGCATGTAGGTGTAGTAGTCAGTGGGCTTACCATTGATTTGGGAACAGGACACAGATTTTATCAAGGCCAGTGTTTTGTTGAACAAACCGATGTTAGTGCTAATTCATCCTGAGAGGATTTTAGTTTTTCCCAGTTTTGCAAATTTCAGTGCAGGCCTATCTGTAATATATGTGGCTGCCGTAACACAGCATTGGTTATGTTATAGGAAATGAGTGAATAACCCTGGCCTTTCCATGACCCTAGCCGTGACATTGATCCTGTGACCTTTATGTATGTTAAATATTATGTACTTTACTTGGCTAGGAAGTAGGACTTCCTTCTATGTTGCATGACCCTGTTTTATATACTGTTTTCACTTTTAGACCGGAGCCATCATTCCTTGAGACCATCTGCTACTTTCCTCTGGTGTATTGGATGAAAGGATCTCTGGACAGGTAACTAGTCAAACATGTCTATTGCAAGTCAAGTAATGAATTGAGCCCAGTATATCTCATCTAAGTAGCCCAACTGAGTGCATGAATGGTGTGCAGACTTGACCCTTGTTAGATGTTGAAGCAGTCTTAGAGAAGATGACTTCAAGACTGTGGCACATGGAACTCTTGGTAATCTGAGCTGTCATTGGGCAAAGCAGTTGCTGTTTTCCCTCCTGCAGGAACAAACCAGTGGCTTGATCTGTTGGTTCAAAATAGTGTCTACAAGCAAAATGTGTTCATAGCAATGGAGAAACATTTTGTTGACTAGACTCTGAAGTGTTCATAATGCAACAACGTCATCCAGTCGTTGTCTGAAACACAGTTGTCTGTGCTTACTGCTATAATAATAATAATGTGTCCATTTATATAACGCCAAACTTCACACTAGGTGTGCTCATATCATAGCACTAACAATAGCACCACAAGTTATTACCCCGGATAACCCAAGCTGCCTGTTGTGCTTCATTGTGGGGCAGGACTGAAGTCCTAGAACTCTAAGGAGTCAAGCTGCCAAACACGGTCACCCTACCAAGAACTCTCCGAGGTTGACGTTACTTAACTTCACATTGTGACCTGAGCTCTGTGCACAGGACCATAGCCCTAGATCAGGACCTATTGAGAATATCCACAACAGTTAAGATGATTTGATGTATCATCATGTCATGCCATCTGTATGTCATTTATATTACTATTGATATATTACACAATAGTAGGTTTGCTTCACACCACTTCTCTGGCGTAGAGGTAAGGGAAAGGTGGATGGTTGAATACCCAGGCTGTGACATACCATGGTACTTCTTGTCACCATTCCTGGTGCTAGATGGGATACAACAAGGACTGGTGGGCTTGGAGGCCCTGATTGATGTATCCATGATGCTGTAGCATGGTATCTCAGTGTGCTAGCACTATAAAACTAAGTCACAGACAACAACAAACAACCACATGCATGTGCTTGCACGTCACTATGCAAGTGTGAAAATCGTGAACCAATGTTTAACCACATCACACATCACCTATTGTTTACACCCTTGTATTCCAATGGTGATGCATCGTTATCATAGTGTCAAGTCTTTGATGATACAGTCCTTGTATATGATGTATATGTTTACAGCCTGGATGACTCAATCCTTGTACTGTTATTGTTCCTATGTTTACAGCCTGGATGACTCAATCCTTGTACTGTTATTGTTGCTATGTTTACGGCCTAGATGACTCAACCCTTGTACTGTTATTGTTGCTATGTTTACAGCTTGGATGACTCAATCCTTGTACTGTTATTGTTCCTATGTTTACAGCCTAGATGACTCAATCCTTGTACTGTTATTGTTCCTATGTTTACAGCCTGGATGACTCAACCCTTGTACTGTTAGTGTTCCTATGTTTACAGCCTGGATAACTCAATCCATGTACTGTTATTGTTCCTATGTTTACAGCCTGGATGACTCAATCCTTGTACTGTTATTGTCCCTATGTTTACAGCCTGGATGACTCAACCCTTGTACTGTTATTGTTCCTATGTTTACAGCCTGGATGACTCAACCCTTGTACTGTTATTGTTCCTATGTTTACAGCCTGGATGACTCAATCCTTGTACTGTTATTGTTCCTATGTTTACAGCCTGGATGACTCAATCCTTCTACTGTTATTGTTCCCATGTTTACAGCCTGGATGACTCAATCCTTGTACTGTTATTGTTCCTATGTTTACAGCCTGGATGACTCAATCCTTGTACTGTTATTGTTCCTATGTTTACAGCCTGGATGACTCAATCCTTGTACTGTTATTGTTCCTATGTTTACAGCCTGGATGACTCAATCCTTGTACTGTTATTGTTCCTATGTTTACAGCCTGGATAACTCAATCCATGTACTGTTATTGTTCCTATGTTTACAGCCTGGATGACTCAATCCTTGTACTGTTATTGTTCCTATGTTTACAGCCTGGATGACTCAATCCTTGTACTGTTATTGTTGCTATGTTTACGGCCTGGATGACTCAATCCTTGTACTGTTATTGTTGCTATGTTTACAGCCTGGATGACTCAATCCTTGTACTGTTATTGTTCCTATGTTTACAGCCTGGATGACTCAATCCTTGTACTGTTATTGTTCCTATGTTTACAGCCTGGATGACTCAATCCTTGTACTGTTATTGTTCCTATGTTTACAGCCTGGATGACTCAATCCTTGTACTGTTATTGTTCCTATGTTTACAGCCTGGATGACTCAACTCTTGTACTGTTATTGTTCCTATGTTTACAGCCTGGATGACTCAATCCTTGTACTGTTATTGTTCTATGTTTACAGCCTGGATGACTCAATCCTTGTACTGTTATTGTTCCTATGTTTACAGCCTGGATGACTCAATCCTTGTACTGTTATTGTTCCTATGTTTTACAGCCTGGATGACTCAATCCTGATGACTCAACTCTGTTATTGTTCCTATGTTTACAGCCTGGATGACTCAATCCTTGTACTGTTATTGTTCCTATGTTTACAGCCTGGATGACTCAATCCTTGTACTGTTATTGTTCCTATGTTTACAGCCTGGATGACTCAATCCTTGTACTGTTATTGTTCCTATGTTTACAGCCTGGATGACTCAATCCTTGTACTGTTATTGTTCCTATGTTTACAGCCTGGATAACTCAATCCATGTACTGTTATTGTTCCTATGTTTACAGCCTGGATGACTCAACCCTTGTACTGTTATTGTTCCTATGTTTACAGCCTGGATGACTCAATCCTTGTACTTTTACTGTTCCTATGTTTACGGCCTAGATGACTCAACCCTTGTACTGTTATTGTTCCTATGTTTACAGCCTAGATGACTCAACCCTTGTACTGTTATTGTTGCTATGTTCACAGCCTGGATGACTCATCCTTGTACTGTTATTGTTCCTATGTTTACAGCCTGGATGACTCAATCCTTGTACTGTTATTGTTCCTATGTTTACAGCCTGGATGACTCAACCCTTGTACTGTTAGTGTTCCTATGTTTACAGCCTAGATGACTCAATCCTTGTACTGTTATTGTTGCTATGTTTACAGCCTGGATGACTCAACCCTTGTACTGTTATTGTTGCTATGTTTACAGCCTGGATGACTCAATCCTTGTACTGTTATTGTTCCTATGTTTACAGCCTGGATGACTCAATCCTTGTACTGTTATTGTTCCTATGTTTACAGCCTGGATGACTCAACCCTTGTACTGTTATTGTTCCTATGTTTACAGCCTGGATGACTCAATCCTTGTACTGTTATTGTTCCTATGTTTACAGCCTGGATGACTCAATCCTTGTACTGTTATTGTTCCTATGTTTACAGCCTGGATGACTCAATCCTTGTACTATTATTGTTCCTATTTTTACGGCCTGGATGACTCAATCCTTGTACTGTTATTGTCCCTATGTTTACAGCCTGGATGACTCAATCCTTGTACTGTTATTGTCCCTATGTTTACAGCCTGGATGACTCAATCCTAAGATTGTACTGTTATTGTTCCTATGTTTACAGCCTGGATGACTCAATCCTTGTACTGTTATTGTTGCTATGTTTACAGCCTGGATGACTCAACCCTTGTACTGTTATTGTTCCTATGTTTACAGCCTGGATAAATCAATCCATGTACTGTTATTGTTCCTATGTTTACAGCCTAGATGACTCAATCCTTGTACTGTTATTGTCCCTATGTTTACAGCCTGGATGACTCAATCCTTGTACTGTTATTGTCCCTATGTTTACAGCCTGGATGACTCAATCCTTGTACTGTTATTGTTCCTATGTTTACAGCCTAGATGACCTGTTACGGGCAGGAATCAACCACGCAGGGAACGTTGTGATTGTCAACAAGGAGAGCTCCACGTCCAGAGAGGAGGAGACGCTGGCTGACAGTAACACAATTGTCTCTGTACAGACTATATTCAGGTAGATACCTTGCACAGCTCCTATGTTAAGAACACATAACAAGACTCAGGTGTGGTATCTTCCAGCAAAGACTCATGAAAGGTGGGCTCACTAAAATGGTAAACAGCAACAGTTGATGTCATGTTTAGTGTTATGACCAATGGAGATTTTGTGTCCCCAACGTCCCTTGCATGTCTGAAGACGCGACTGAATGGATCAGGTGGTCAGGCTCACTTACTGGATGATTTAATTTCATCTTATCCAAAATGCTTGCATTGGAGCTTCTAACACCATGTACCAATAAGCTGTCACACTCTAAGTAAAAATAACCATATATGGATCTGACTTTAGAATTGGTTCACTGGCACCAATGCTTGTCATAACACAACTCAGTACCTCGAGAGGTCAGACAAAGTACCTGGGTGGATGGCCTGTCATCACACCCTGAGGGCGTGGATCAGTGGTTATAATATCAATCACTGGATTGTCTGGTTCAGACGTGATTATTTGCAGACTGATGTCATATTTCTGAAATATGCCGAGTGCAGCATTAAACTACATTATATTGATGTGATATTATATAACCGAATCACTGTTCCTCAAGACTATGTTACCAAAGCTGCACCAGGTCATTCATTCATTTATTTCCAATGAATATATGGATCAACATTCCTGTAATGCAGAGAGAGTATGCCTTTTCCTCTGATGTCATTGGTTATGCTTTATATAACAGTTAAGTTGGTAGGAAATACTTATCATATGTTATGTTTATGTTATATTCCAGGTTATTCCCAACCGCCAACATTATCACAGAGTTGTCACAAGCTTCAAATATGAGGTTCATGCAGTTCCGGGCCAAGGACAGATATGCCCTCACCATTTCCAAGTTGGAAAAAGTAACTAGTATAACTAAAACAGCAATCATTATAAGCCTAGATCATAAGCAAAGCATACTACACTGATGTCATACTACACTGTCATTCTGAACAGCTTGAAGCTGTTGATTAAAACTTGCATGCCTGTGGTCTCTATATGTTTTTTTGTACTGGGTAAATACGTACCATAACAAACTGTTATGAAATACACGTGTTATGACATAATGCAATTTGACCGGTTGATCTGTGAACCTTTATAGTACTACTTTTGATTGATTGATTGATTGATTGATTGATTGATTACAAACATGTTCCTTATGAAACAATTGTCTTGTAAAAATTATTTGACATAGGATATAAATTTGATATGAAATGGGAAGCCTCTTTTATATCCTATAAAATACACAGTCATGATTTAATTTATATTTATGTTTTATGTGGCTTGAGGGTTTCCTTGAAGTTTTCTTTCAATGCTGCCAAATTGTGGACAAGTTCCAGGTTCACTGAGAGCACTCTGTGTTTGTTTTCAGAAAGAGCGTGAGAGAGGATCCCACATATACTACATGTTCCGACTGCCATTTGCAGCAGGTAATGTGTTCAGTGCCAGTATGCTGGACACGCTGTTGTACCAGGCGTTCGTCAAGGACTATCTCATCACCTTTGTCCGCCTCCTACTCGGCATCGACCAGGCAGTGGGGTCCGGTCATCTTGCCTGTGTAAGTTCAAATGCATGACATTGATTATAATCAACTTCAAGTGGCAAGTACTTGCTCCAGCCTCTGGGAACCCGTGAAGGTCCGGGTTAAAATATTGATCTTCAGTAACCCATGCGTGTCGTAAGAGCCGACTAACGGGATCGGGTAGTCAGGCTCGCTGACTTGGTTGATACATGTCATCGGTTCCTAATTGCGCAGATCGATGCTCATGCTGTTGATCACTGGATTGACTGGTTCAGACTCGATTATTTACAGACCGCCGCCATATTGCTGGAATATTGCTGAGTGTGGCGTAAAACTAAACTCACTCACTCACTCCAGCCTCTGGGGATTCTGGGTTTGAATTGGTACATAGAAACCTATATTGGTGAAAAGAGGTGGCTCAACAGATCAGACTTGGAGTCATTGTGTGCCATTGAATTATGAGTTAATGAAACAAACATGAATTCACACCATTGTTTGATTGTTTACAATGAAATGTACATGAATTCACTCAGTTTTTTTGATGGTTTAGAATGAAATATGCATGAATTTCTTCCTTCATTGTTCGATGGTTTAGAATGAAAGTGACATGAGCCCAATCCCTTTTGGATGCTTCAGTCCGAATTTTGATTTGCCATTCAAAAAGTATAATAACCCGTGAAGATCCAGGTTAGAATTGGTCATCAGCAACCCATGCCGTCATAAGAGGCAACTAACGGGATGACTTGGTTGAGACAAATGTCATCATATCCAGATTGTGATCCATGCTGATGATGTTGATCACTAGATTATCTGGTCCAAACTCTATTATTTACATACAGCCCCCATATGGCTGGAATATTACAGAGTAAAGTGTTACACAACAAACAAACAAAAGAAATGTATCTAGTGGGTTCCATTCCCAGATTTGCCCTGACTGTTTCTAGGATTGTCAGAACCATACCCATGCTCACAGGTTTCATCAGTGTGACATATACATATCTGAGACCAGCATTAATTGATATATTCACCACCACCAGTTGATTAACATGGCATTCTTCCTACTGTCCACCCGTGAAGATCCGAGTTAGAATAGATCTTCATGCTTGTCGTAAGAGGCGACTAACGGGATCAGGTGGTCAGGCTCGCTGACTTGGTTCACACATGTCATTGGTATCCCAATTGCGTACTGTTGCTGGTGATCACTTGATTGTCTGGCCCAGACTCGATTATTTACAGACTGCCGCCATATAGCTGGAATATTGCTGGGTGCAGCGTACAACTCACTCACTCACTTCCTACTGTCCACAGATGAAGATCTCCAAGGATGATCTATGGATACGTACATACGGCCGCTTGTACCAGAAGTTATGCTCAACTACCTGCGAGATTCCTCTCGGCATTTACCGAACCCAGATCCATTCTGGGTCTGAGATTACCTCGGTAAGTGTTCCACGTCTTCATAAGTCTGTGTTTACCCCAAGCTTGTTTATATTGTATCAATTCCTATTTTGATGTAATAGCAGGTTAGTGAAAGCCATTTCTATGTAATTCGTACCTTTTTTTCCCTTTCTGGTCGATAGTGGGAAGATTGTTCATTTTTCTGCATTGTCTTTTGCATGACATTACTGAATGACTGCATTCTTGTAAAACTAGACTTTCAACAATTTCTTGACATGCTGAATTTTATTCTTTTCTGTATAGAGCGGTATGGGTCATTCTCCTGTGAAAGTAAGTTCTGTTTATCCCATGTACTCCCTAGCGGCCAGCTATGTGCAGGTGATCGGCTTAAAGAACCCACCCACTTCCTACACCCAGGTTTAGGCAACAAATATTCTGTAGAAAATCTGGAATATGCTTTGGCCAGGCCAATTTTATTTCTTGTTTTACGGAGCCTATCTTGAAATTTAAAGATGTAAAACAATCTTGTTTATTGAAAATATGCTCTGTTTTTGTTATTCCTGAAGGGTAAAAACCTAAAGACAAATTAACAAAAACTATGTTATTAATTTGGGGGTTTCCTGGGATATCTGTAAAACACAAAGAAATGGTCTGGCCTTATAGTTTGTAGATAAATATATTGGTATATTCAGAAAGGTTTTATTGTTTAAGTATATAAAAACGCTAAAGAATGTATGTTTGTAATATTCTGTGTTCTGTGTATTATTGGTAGTACATTTAATTGGGACATTGAATTTATAACATTGATTAGATATGTTCTTAATTTGTTAATCTAAACCTGTTAATTGATTGATTAGTCAGTCGTAAACACTATGTCCTACCCAAACTTCAGGGTTCAACCCCTAAAGGTTAAGGGTACATTGATCTAATATGGAAGGGTGTAATACATTAACTGAAAAGTTGCTGAAAAAACTAGTTGTACAGCAAATCTCATTGTCTTATACTTCTATTTGTAACCTGGGGCGGTGGGGTAGCCTAGTGGTTAAAGCGTTCGCTCGTCACGCCGAAGACCCGGGTTCGATTCCCCACGTGGGCACAATGTGTTAAGCCCATTTCTGGTGTCCCCCGCCGTGATATTGCTGGAATATTGCTAAAAGCGGCGTAAAACTAAACTCACTCACTCACTCACTCTATTTGTAACTAAGGCTAGCATATGTGCCTGTATTATTTATAATGGAACTTATTGTTGATTTGTTAATTTTCTGGGAACACTACCTTTGGGTGATTTCCTGACTCCTAAACACTTCCCTGTGCAACCAACTGCTGCCACGCCCTGCCACACCCCATCACGCCCCCTGCCACACCCTGCCATCACCTGCACATAGACTGGAATGAGCTGCAGTTTCAGCTCCTAACACATTGTGAACAGTGTGCAGTGGTTGGCGCTTTCACACCCTAACATTTGACTGTTTATGTCTGCTGTTGTGGGCGGTACATCTTGGTAGATTCAGCTTGTGTTGACAAACCTGCAGTCTACACTGCCTATGGCTATTCTCAAGTTGCTGGTGATATTTGTATGTGTACCCCTTGTCTCCACTAGACATTCACTGATATCGACTGTCTGTTAGTTTAAGCACCACGAAGGAGAAATGGTGATATATTTCATTAACATCCTCTAGTGTTAAGGGTAAACAATTTGTACGACAGGTAATTTTTTTTTAGTAAGACAGAATCTAAACATCTGGGCCTAGATTTTCGAAGCTCTCTTAGTGCTAAGATAGTCATAAGTGCCATACATTAACATTAACTTACGACTGTCTTAGCTCTAAGAGAGCTTGGAAAATCTCGGCCCTGCAGTTTTCAGAGCTTTGTTCAGTTTGTTGACTTTCATCTTTTGTGAGTTGAGTATCCTTGACAACCAGGCTGAAATAAACATGGACTTGGAATGGATCGGAATGATTTAGACCCACAACCTTCTTGTCAATGTTTTTTTTTTGTTTCAATACCAATATAAGACAGCAACTGACAATAACTGCTGTTTTTTACTGTCTTTTATTAGCTAAAAAGACAACGTTCATTTTTCCGTGGGAATGTGAGTAGATTTTATCTGATGCAGAGCCTCATCACATATCAGATATCACTTCTTGGATCCTCGTCACCCATTCGCTGTTTCCATCAGTCAGTCTAGTTCACATCACAGTTTTCCACACATGGATTCCATTCTTTACCAACTCAGCTCAGCGGAATCTTCTTCTGTTTTTTTAACCAGCTCACTGTGTCTGGTTGTTGCACTTTGCCTGCAGCGTTTTGTCTACAGGTTCAGACATTTTGCCTTTTGAGACTCTGCTGACTTGTATAGACTCTGAAAGATTCAGAGATAGTCTGTTTACAACCATGAGAATCAGGGAGAATACTGAAGTCATACAATGAAACCTTGTAAATCCAACAGTCTCAATGAAAGAAAATTTCTTGTTACAAATATTTAAAACATAGCAATGACCCCTTTACCATCTGTAGATGCACTCAAAAAATGTTCTTAATACAGGATGGCTAGAATTTTTTGTTTGTTCATATACTATTTTCCATACTTCAGGTTTGAATGTGAACTTTTAAAACAAAAATTAAATTAATAAATCCAGTTTCTTTCTCTTCATTCTTCTGAGGTTATTGTGTTTGAAGTTATTAAGATACATTTTCAACAGGTTTGAATTATAATTATATATTTATATTGAAAATGATTGTAAACATTTTATTTTTTCCCATTTTTGGATTTTATGAATAAAATGTATTCAAAATGTGACAACAGATGAGACTGAAGAACCAAAGGACAATTAATATTCTGAACCATGTCCTGATTGTTAAAATTCATCTCAGTCCTTATACAGTATCTGGAAACTTGTGACATCGACCCTTTGTGTAATGAAATGCTTGATGTAAAGTCATTTAAATAGGTATCTATATCAGCAGTGCTTTAATTCCCTGATTCTCATGTCTAGGAAGATCGGACTCATCACTCCCATAGCACAGTTTTTGTGGAAGTATTCCATTTGTGAACACCATGTTTGAATGCTGCCACAAACCTCTCACGTTTTATTTCAGTTGGAGTCTGTTTGGTTTGTAGATTTGCTACGATTTGGCTAACTTTATAGGCTATTTACAGCTTATTGAGTTGCATATAACACTGTCCTTATACTGCAGTCATCAACATGTGTCTCTCGGTCGGGATCAGTCCGCTCTCAATCTCGCGTTTAGAAATTCCTTTGTAAGTATACATTTATACTGTGTGCGCTTGCTCTTACTAATAATCCATCCTTCCTCTGCCAACCCATTCACACCCCGACTCTCTGTCCCCTGACTGTCTCCGTATACCACCACATGGCGTGGTAATACATAATTCACTCTGTTGTACTTCAGAACATCTGCTTCAGGGTATATCTTTGATAAAATGTTCAAACATGTTATCCTGACAACAACTTTTTGTGCAGTATTTTAGTTTTCAAACAAATCCTTTTTGACGAATGAAGGATCCTTTTCCAGAAACAAATTTTTCAGCGTAAAGGAAACTATTGCTGTGAAATACAATTGTTTCAAGAAACATGAATATTCTTTTTGACACAATATTTGATAAGCATGCACTTAATGACCTACAATTGCAGATTGTTATATTTCCTCATGAAGAGTCAAGAAGAGCTGATTATTCTGCCCCCCACACCTCCTACCACACACACACACTAACTTCCCCTCCCCACATCTCCAGCCTCTCCCCCCTCTGTTTTACAGTTGTCCAGCATGATCACATGTACAATGTGGACACCTCATCATATCAAGTGCATCATAGACATACCAGACCTCACAAACAATCATGTTTAGTCCATCTTCATTAAACCTGACAGGGTGCGATTTGATACTTTGTACTTCCCAACACAGATGAAACTCATTAATCGCCAAGTCAATAGCACTAATAAAATTCATAAATAGTCCCTGTTCAAGGATGATTTAGGTACCAACCTTGCAAAATTAACATTAGATGTTCTTTATGTTCCTCTACAATAGCCTCGGTCATCTTAAACAAAGATCTTGAAAAATTGTCTATTCAAAATGTGAATTTCGTACATAAAACACTGACAGAAAATATTTGTAATTAAGGGGCGAATACAGCTTTTTGAGAAAGGAGGGATGCACAGTTCAGAAAGGGGGGGGGGGGGATGCACAGTTCATTTTCATCTGTTTTCACAAGAGTTTCAATGGTCTTTTAACAAACTTTCAGGACAAAGGGGGATGGGGTGCACACCTGCACCCCTCTGGATCCACCTATGTAATTTTTTAGACAAAATGAAAATTGCAACCTGTGATATGTACCAGAGATAGTAATCTTTGTGACAAAAGTTTTATAAAAACAAAATGAAAGGCAAGTACATCTGGTCTATCACAAAACCTACCAGCATCAGTCCCTATGCCATATGTGTTAACCTTCAAAACAGAAACTGATGTTTACAATAAAAGTTTCTGTATGGACATAAATTAAAAAGGTCCACTCTAAGGGATTACTTTGAGCCAGAAAAATCAGCATTACTTAATGATAACAATAAAAATGAGAATATTTATAACACGCCTTTTCCAGGCTAGATATCCTGCTCAAAGCGCACAATCTGATCATTATTACCCCGGATAGCTCAAGCTAACTGTTAGGCGCGAGAGTAGCCTCGAGAAGGTTAATAGTCTCGCTACTTATTTCACCGGATACCCATTTCCTGCTGGGTGAACAATTGTGAACAAACTCACTTGCCTAAGGTGAGATCACATGTAACATCACCTGCAGACTTTGAACACATACTTTATTACCTGTATTGAGAAGATGATTTAGCATTCAGAATGTATGATCTAATTGTGTGGTCTACAGTTCATGGCCAAACCATGATCTTAGGGACAGCATATAATGCACAGATTACAGACCAATGGCAGAGCTTTGTGAAACAGATGAAGTGCAGTAAATGTTGAAAATTATTAATGAAAGATATCTGTTGTATAGGTATTAATATTATGGCTGGGGTGGTAGGGTGGTTAAAGTGTTCGCTCATCACCCCAAAGACCCGGGTTCGATTCCCCACATGGATACAATGTGTGAAGCCCATTTCTGGTGTCCCCAGCTGTGATATTGAGGAATATTGTTAAAAACGGTGTAAAACAAAACTCACTCACCCACTAATATTATGGCCATGATGCTTTCATTAAATAATGCAGACTGTCTTCTTGTGACTGAACAAGTGAGGAGAGTTGCTCCTTGAGACAGGTTGTGAACCAATAATCTGTACAACCACTGGAGCAACTGGCAGTCAGTGCCATGGTTGTGAGTGAGTGAGTGAATAAGGTTTACACCACTTTTAGCAATTGTACCCATGAGGGGAATCGAACACAGGCCTTGAGCATGACGAACAAACGACATTATGTTGCCAATTAGTTCAACCAGGATTCAGATCTTACTCATCAATACCAAACTGCAGGTGATTTTCATCCATACAGTATTAGACTAGTTGGTTATTGTTGGTTTAAACTATATTTAAACATCCAGGCTAGCCAACCAGCCCCAAGTGATGCAAGGCGAATAGTTCCACATGTCCCCTCTCCTCCTTTTATGCAGATCACACATTCAGGAACAAACTTTCCATGCTGCAAATTAAACAGTATACATTTATTGTGAGCAAAGTCATCAATTAATGTTGATATTTCACTCAGTTTCATTCATACAAAGTCATCAGTCAACCTAAACAGGCAAATTTGAAAATTGCACCCTGCTGAGGATCATTTCATGAACATCACCAGAGCTACACATTTCAAACTCTTGTCATCCATGAATTTCATCTGAGCTTCTAATCTTATACTGCAAAATATATATTCGCTGACGTTGAGGGTTAAGGCAGATGTTATGGCAGTTATCAAAGAAAATGGTAGAAACTACACCATTCAGACCTTCTGCTCTAGCTTTCTTCGCCTTTGTGCTGTATGAGTTTATCTAGAAATCACTCTGGCTATCAGCCACATATATATGTGTGTATATATTCTCACTAGCGTACATGTTAAGTGTATGCTTTACTATCTTCAAGTGTAACGTGAGTGTTTCTTGAGTGTTATCTATACTCTTCATATTTCATAACTCTATCTTTTTCTTACCTGACAAGTGTAGTATAACAAGACAAATATTACATCTGTCTCACTGAAAATGTTTCCTTGCATAAATTGTTAAGAAGTAATTTTTCTACAGATATTTCCCAGATGGACAACAAGCCTTTATTGGCCCTAATCTCACAAATTAAACCAATATTTCCATACAGTGTGTTTCTCCCTATCCCCCTCTGTGTGATACGTGTGTGAGTTCATCACGTGATCCCATGTGATATCTGCCTATGTTCCATAACATGCATCATATCATAATAATTGAATAAATATCTTCAATATTTGGCATGCAGTAAGAGTAATATAACTATATTTATGGATAGGGATGTTGATGCTGGGCTATTGAAGTACATATATACAGTAAACTACATTTGTAGTGAACATGCTTATGACGGATATAACATCTGTATTTTTAGTCTCAGCAATTGCTTTACTTTTTAGTCGAAATGCATAAGATAAACTATGCTTATAACACATTAAAATTGGGGGTCCTTGAATTTCTGTTAAAGGAAGTTTACTGTATATGTACTAGAATATTATTAGAGGTGTGTGTGTGTGTGTGTGAGAGAGAGAGAGAGAGAGAGAGAGAAAGAGGGAGTCGCAGAGAGAGAGATAGAGCGACAGAGAGAGAGAGAGTGAGAGAGAGAGGAAGAGCGACAGAGAGTGAGTGAGAGAGAAGAGAGGAAGAGAGAGAGAGCGACAGAGAGAGAGAGAGAGAGAGGAGAGAGAGAGAGACAGAGAGAGAGGAAGAGGAGCCAGCAGAGAGAGAGAGAGAGAGAGAGAGAGGAGAGAGAGAGAGACAGAGAAGAAAGAGTGAGCGACAGAGAAAGAGAGAGAGAGAGAGGAAGAGTGAGCGACAGAGAGAGAGAGAGAGAGAGGAAGAGTGAGCAACAGAGAGAGAGAGAGAGAGGAGAGAGAGAG